TGGCTATCGTTGACACCTAATTAACACCTATTGTTAACAGGGGGTGGAGTGATACTGGCAATAGCAGCACTGTAGGAGGGGGACAATTGCTTAAAAGCCTGAATTTTGCCTGAAACTCTCAGACTGAAGAAGTCTCTTGGAGGAGAGACGAAACGTTTCATTAGAGAAGAACCCGTCCAGAACTATACAGTTTTTTTCTTTCTGTGCGATTGCAGACTTACATTTCAGTCTCTCCACGGCAAATGTCTCAAACTCAGAGAGAGCAATGTTTTCCAGAGGTGACTGCCCYTAGAACTGCAGAGGCTGATCATAGAGCTCAGCCAGAGGGTTTGACACAAACCTCTTTTTTCTGTTACTGCTGTCAAACTGCATGATGAAGCCTGAGGGGGTAACAGGGACGTGTTCAGCCTTTCACGGTTGGTGTAACAGCATATRTGTTGATTCTGATTTAGTATGACATGCACGGGGTTACACACAAAGAAACTTATGGCATTAATTTTAGCAACTAAATAGTCTCATTTCTGCACACGCCCTTCAGTTTCATTCACTCTTCTTTGAATAAGACAACTGAACAGAACTGAAAACACAAAAAAATACACAATCAAACATAAGACAAATACAGAATAAGCACGCATTAACCTCAACTGTACAAAAGAATATTGACGATGCTAAGTCTCTCATAAACTTCCACGAGACAAAATTGTTAGCTCACGTAAAAAACATTGGCTTATAGACGAGTGAGCTCAACGCGAGCTGTACGAACAAGCTTTAAATTATATTAATGTTGTGACTTTACCGATGAACCTTCAAGGAAGCGTGCAGTGAGTTCAATCCCGCCAAACTAAAGTGGGTTGTGTTCAACAAAGCGGGTAAACGATGACASGGAGGCAAAACAGGAAGTGAAGCGCTTACGTAACGTGGTGGACGCTCGTTTTTAATTTATTTAATCCGCCAGAGTCCATTAACTTCGACGTCCAAAAACAATTCACGAAAACTGTAAGTCCAGTGTTGCATCCAAATATCAAGCACAAATGCATATAAATTCATTTTGGTTTAAACAAGATCATGTTTTTCCTAATGGATAGATTTCTTTTTTTCACAACAATAATATGCGGGAGACGCTGTACTATAAAACAAACGGACTCTTGACTTCTTCAGACTGCCAGAAAAAATTATGCTTTGCCTTTTTTATTTTTACAACTAATTACTTAAGTACAACTTAAATGTAATATAATGTGTAAATTAATAATTGTCAATGAGTTTTTTATGTTATTTGGGATAATAATACTAATCAATTTCACATTGACGACACGAGTTTGATTCTTTTATGGCAGGCCAATATAACATCAAATATAAGCAAAAAAAAAAGCTAAATCTTCAAATTAAATTGAACTCTTCCTTGTCAAAACGAACGTTTCATCTATCCAAAYGAGTAAAATTTATTTCTATCAGCATTCACAGTACATTATATTTCTTACATTTTATTTTGGTAAAATGCTTTTCTTATTTATGTGTGATTGACTTTATTCTACAGGTACAAATTGTTAAACTGTTTATCGTGAAAAGGAAGAAAGCTCTTCTGTACGAAAGAGAAGTAGGGCCACTGAGAAAAAAAAACCTTATGTGTCCTGTTCTGACTTTTTCTCATAATTATGCATTTTTCCCTAGGACTCGGAGATTAATGACTTTTTACTCAAAATTAAGAAACAGTCAGAATTCTGACTTTTTGCTCAGAATTCTGATTAAAATCAGAACTTAGTAAAAATTATTATTATTGTTGTTGTTGTTGTTGTTGTTGTTG